CTGATTGAATAAACTAATGAATAAAATCAACAAAATATATACATGAAGCATTTTTGTCACAGGTCATAACCTAGCACAATACGTCCAATAAGTTCCATAATTTACGTATAGGTAGCGATTTCTTGCTTAATATCTTCAAAATAGCATTATTTTACCAAAAACTTTGGTCTAATCTAAAAGTTTTCGTTTACGAGGACGCTATCCCTTGCCGTAATATGATTGGCTGCCTTACGTCACGTGTCTGATTTGGACCAATCACGACCCTTATAGCAGACCGTAGCGAAAAAGCGTCATTAGAAACCAATTTCTATCCAATAAAATCGCTTCTTACAACTGTGAAAATACTCTTGGCAAGGGTTCAGTGATGTTGTTGATGTTCAGAGCTTTCGAACGATACCCGACATCAAACGATTCGCCTCCTATGTTATTCATACGACGCTTCGAAAACGGAGGTATTTTCCGTTGTTATGTCATATTACCGAGCGGAAAGCCACAGATATCGGGAAATAGGCGACCATACATATTATTTAAGAAATCTTTTTATAATAATTTTCTGATGACGTAAAAGTCAAAATATAAAAGAAAAAGGCACGGGCATGTTATGACATTTCACAAATGGAAAAAAAAATCGCCATATTTTTTGCTTCTTTCGTGGTTTATCTGGACGTTATAAATGTAAGCTTGCTGGTTATGAAGAAACATAAAAACAAAATTATAAGTGTACAATCGCAAAACAAAAGTGCAATATTTTTTACTTGGGTTTGCTTCCCAAGAAACGAAGCAGCCGGGATGCCGAACCAAGTCAGAGCGGGTGGGTGTGCACTCAAGTGTAACGGCTGGTTCATTTGCAGATGCCCTCACGGCTCATTGTGTGTGTATATATAAAGATGTTGGGTTTGTAAATACATGCTCATTTTTTTGTGTATAACATTTGGCAAACAACAGACACCATAACATGTCATGTGTACAAGTAACACACTTGCCTGTCTGTGTAATTACATAATGTGACAGAGACCGAACTCGGGCCATAAATCAATGCGTTTTGTTTATGGTGTATAGCCTGATTGGTGTTAAGTTCAAATTGTATGTGGTCAGTGATTGAAATTGTGTATTGAATATTGTCATTAGCAGACGGGCAGGCAGACACATAGGTGCCAATAAAACAGACATTGAGTTTTGTTTGTGACAAAGACATATCTTTATCACAGTTAGAAATTCTGTCGACGCTAAATAATGACATTGCTTTTGAGTATCGAACTGAGAAAGTGACTCGGTAAGAAGAACGTGTGGTGAAATAGACAAATGAAATTATATAAACCGTTAAATCGGTAATCTACTGTAATAACATATAAAAAGCTCGCGCCTGTGAAATATCAACAAAACATTAGAAAAATAGCTCACACCAAAGCCTTCACCGAATATTCACCGGACAACCCGCTTCCAAGCTCCGCGAACCTATTTCACTGCGCATGTGCTATGAGCGCAGCCCAGCTGTTGAAACCACTTCAATTCCCCCAAGCGCTGGGGGAAAGTTAGTGAATCGTTTGAACTACGATTTCGCGCGGGTTTGTTTTAACTTTATAAGTTGAATTTGCATTTTTGATGATTTGTTTCGGTAAGTCCATACCGAAAGGTATCAGAATCTGCAAAGTTGTGTTTTACGTTGCATGTGACCTTTAAACGATTTAAGTACTCGGGATTATTTTTATCAAAGCACCGGGCTCAATTACGCGCGTTCTGATTGGTTTGTTGTGTTTTCACACATAACAAGTATCGTTGGGGGGACGAGTCTTCTTGGAGATTACGGAAAGGGGCGAGTGGTGACGAATGGGAGTAACATTCTCGCAGCAGTGAGTGCATGTCTACATTCACTATCATACCAATTATCTACCTTGCTGGAGCGGCGTTTGTTTATGGGAGTTTTTTTGAAGATATCAACACATTATTTCATACACTTATTAAAACAATCGTATGATTCCGATACATTAGACCTTGATATATAGTCCTGGAATTGATCTTCTAGCTCTGACGAACTGGCTTCAGCGTGATGAGCAAACGCTTTAACCACCAGACCTTGTAAAGACGTCCATTTTGATTTTGATATATCATGGAAGAATATAGAGAGGATATTTGGTTTCTCTCGTCAATAACTCGACGCTTTCACCAATAGGCTACCCCACCGCATACCTTCTCACATGTACCTGACACGACCTCTGACAAAAGTACCATCCAATCCACAATCACAGAGCTGATTCTACGACAAATGTCAAATTAGCTATTGAATACTTACAGAACAGATCGCCATTCCCGAAAGCTTAGTGTAAGGCAGGTATCTGTGAACGTAGCTTGTACAGCAATGGCGCACAGTCAACTTTCTAGAGGTGATACAATTCCGAGTATTGTCGGGGTATATGAAGTGTCACTTACACAATGACACGGATATAAATATAACCAATGTAACGCTGACGTATCTCTTAACTTTGTCACGCACTGGATATTGCATAACGTCATCATATAGCCCGATAATTTGATATCGTGTTCCTGACAAATGTATGGTCTTAAGTAAAGAAAATTGACAGAGAGTAGAGGAAAAAGTAGGAGTTCATGACAACAATATCCCAACACGAGCTGAATTCGACGTTCTGGTGATTTCGACGATTGCATTGCACGCGCTATATCGGGGGAGTACGTGTGCGATCGGTGTGCACAAACAGTTTCACTGGTAGGGCGGGTGCCCAGTCGTTGTCCTGAGAAGTTGTATTGACAATGGAAATCGGGAAGTAAAGTTATATAAAAAGCAAACAAACATCAATATTATTTACCCGAGATCGTTCATACCACTTTAGATGCAAACTCAGTTGCCTTTATAACCAAAAATAGCAAGCGAAAATTCAGTAAGATCAGTCGTCTGCTGGTGACAGGCAATATATACTGGCCACATAAAGAAACTGTGCACACAGAAAATATAAATATAGGCACACAGCGTATTTATACATTAATACATTTGTGAACATAGCAAGTATGCTCATGCACGTGCCAGGCGACGTGACGTCATTAACGGTGGCGTATGGCCTTGCAATGTTTTACTGCACGTGCAGTCCGTACAGCTGCACACAACATGTGAAACTCGGAAATTGCTGTCACTGTCGAAAGTTTGATCTTTGGTCATTCAAACGTTCACAAATCCACATGAGAAGTCACATGCACATCATGCCAAGATTAACATCTGCTCAACGTCATGAAACCATTGGAATGGTTCGAGCAGGAATGAGCCAACAACAGGTGGCAACACATTTCCAATGCCATCGTAACACGATATTTGCATGGGTCAGGCGTTATCGAAACAGTAATGATGTCACCGACTACCCACGTTCTGGGCGTTCCCGACGTAACGACGCCAAGACGCCAGGTGGATTCGGGTGACTCATCTCAGATACAGGTTCCAGACAGCAGTGACCACGCCCCAGACCATTTCCCAGGCCTCCAATGCACATTTGGTAGCCTCTATGCTTCGTTGTTTTACTACTGTGCTTCACGCACATGGTGGTCATACCCGTTATTGATTTTGTGACTTCGTCATGTGACCCCCCTACTCGATTTTGAACTTCTGACGTCATCGTTACGGATATTGTTCATGTTCTTTTGACAATTTCATGTGGTCCGATACTTCAGCTTATAAAGTGTCTACATCATTTCGTCTTTGCTGTGTTGTATTCCAATTCTGAAGGCATTTTCTGTGTGCACAGTTTCTTTATGTGGCTAGTATATAAATAGGAAGCCACGTGATCACAACACTCCCTTCGCAGTGCGGAGCAAAAAGTATGGCTCATCGTCAAAAACCCATACCAAATATCCGGATGTTACGAGCGGCAACAGTTTCGCCGATACGATGTCATCAACGCTATTTTTGTGTGAAATAGATGAATATATCCTTTATCACTCGAGGTTAGTAAAATAAAAACTTTAAATGATATTACAGATAAAAATTACGTTTTTGTCTTACATCGTCGAAACCCCTGACACCGGAATACCAGTTACCTCCTAATTTCAATGGAAAGCGAAGAAGCGTGGAGGGAGGTACTCGAAGGTGTAGAAGACCGAGGAAGACTCCCTAAAGATGTGGTAACAATGGACACAAAGGAGATTATAGAATTAAGCGGTGTGAATGGGAGCGACGACAGGTGTTCGTCGGCTGCTGGCGCCTGATCGTCCGCTACGGGTTGGATACGAAACCGTTCGTCTGCTTCAGAGCTGTCGTCTGCTCGCAAGGCGCTTCCGGTTTACACACCTAAGGTTGTTGAATCCGTGTCATTCGTCACCCCTCTCCCCTTTCCGTAACCTCCAAAAAGACTCGTCCCCCTATCGATGCTTGTTATGTGCGAAAATACAACAAACCAATCAGAACGCGCGTAAATGAGCGCGGTGCTTTGATAAAAATAATCCCGAGTACTTAAATCGTTTATGGCATTATGTCATTGTTTAAAGAATCATGAAAAATATATATCGTCATATTGAAAGTACAAATAACGTAGCTAAAAGGATTTTGCTGGCTATTATGAAGTTTTTAATAAGAATCATGCTATTGGCGGTGAGAGATTCAAATACACGCACGTGCGTTTGTTGACATAACGGCTCTCATTGGTCCAACGGAGTGTATTTCTGACGAGCTTGCGGGCTTGTTTTGGAGATTGTACGTGCGCTTCGACCAATTGTAGGAACTGCAATTATAATCGCTACGAGTTTCAAAACTCGTATATATGTATATGTCCGATGATTGAAAATGTCAATAAATAACAAACATGATAATATTTGTTCATTTTATTTTTTATTAATTATAATAACCTCATGTGTAAGTCAGTATGAATGAATGAATAACTCCTAGGAAGTATACTAGTATACTTCTTAGAGGTTGGGAGGTCGTATATCCGTTCCACTGCAGAGGTTGGGAGGTCGTATATCCGTTCCACTGCAGAGGTTGGGAGGTCGTATATCCGTTCCACCTAGAGGTTGGGAGGTCGTATATCCGTTCCACTGCAGAGGTTGGGAGGTCGTGGCAGAGGTTGGGAGGTCGTATATCCGTTCCACTGCAGAGGTTGGGAGGTCGTATATCCGTTCCACTGCAGAGGTTGGGAGGTCGTATATCCGTTCCACTGCAGAGGTTGGGAGGTCGTATATACGTTCCACTGCAGAGGTTCTGACCTCGTGTATCCATTCCACGGCTGTGGGTTGTTTCCGCCCGGCAGAGGTTCAGAGGGCGTGTATCCATTCCAAGGTTGCGTGGTGTTTGGGTTTGTCATAGGTGTGGGAGCCACGCATCCGTTCTGTGCAACGATGTTGTTGTTGTTGATGATGTTGTGTTTGCTCCCATTTTCAACATGCGTGTATCCGCTACAGCTTGGTCTTGACTTGGCAGATTCTGTTCCAGGTGGTGGTGAGACAGGTCTTATCATCGAATCTAAAATGGAATGTAGAAGTAGATTTTTAATTTTTAAATAAAATATGTATACAACACTTCTGTTGAAGAACGGAAATAAGTAAATAATTCGGGACTTACCGGGTCTTTTATACGGATGTGTTCGATTGATGCCATCCACCTCAGGATCGCAACAGTTGACCAGCTCTAGGTCTTCTACAACCTCCAGTATCTCTTCCTGCTTCTGAACAAGCGCTTTGAATGCCTCCGGCGTTAGACTTAAGCTTTTCTCTCCTTTTAAATTGCGTTTCTTTATATGAATGAACGGTTTTGAGGTAGATGGGTCCAAGTTCACATGTACCGTGTTGTTAAACCAGTAGCTTATCTTCTTGGTAACCCTATTCATTGCCATGTCAGATAGTCAAGTAGATGCTGGTAGGATTTAAGGAGATATGACAGTGAGGTGAGGTGAGGCGAGGCGAGGCGAGGCGAGGCGAGGCACGAAACGAAACGAAACGAAACGTCGTGCTTGAGAATATTTCGCTCATATGACGACGTGTATGTGTGTGTATGTGTGGCTGCTTGTACTAGCCCAGACTGAAGCTGGTTTTATAGTGCTAGTCCACTGAGATACCACGCCGCAGTGAAGCATGAATACCCCACTCAGACACATTATACTGACTCCGAGCCGATCAGTCCTTGTTGTACCCATCAATGCCGAGCGCCAGGCGGGGCCCATATTTTAACGTCTTTTGGTATGACGCGGTCGGGGATCGAACCCGCGACCTTCCACTCTCCGGGCGGACGCTCTAACCACTACACCACGGAGATGGTCAGTATGTAAGCAGTTTTGAGGTTTTGCGCGAGCAGTTTTTACCGTCCAAAGATCAATTTTATTCTTCACTGAGCGAGGAAGGAGTTTTAGTCTGGTAGGATGGGTACAGAATTCAAGTCCCGTGGAAGTTTTGTGATGAAAGCAAAGCATTGTGTTTTTGTATTCATCAGACATGCTAGTTAAATAAAAAGTTTGGTTCCAAGTTGAAATATGGTGCAAATAGTACTTTTGAGCACTGTACAAAGTGGTTGTGGAAAAGGTTGCTAAAAGGTTAGAAGGTCATAATTGGAGAGTTGAATATTTAAAGTTTGAGGTTATTAACTTTAGCCAAGTGTGTTTCTCTATTTCATGAAATATTTTTTTAAAAGCAAACCCCAAAATATATTTTTTTAAATGAAAAAAAAAATATAATGAACACTCCCCCTCTAAAAATGGCAGCTGGGAGACGAATTTAAGCAGATGTAGGTTTTATGCATTTTGTAAGTATATGATTGCTTCATTTCATCAACTCAATGTAAATCAAGTTATTAAAGAACAGTTATGTATGAAACAAATAGAGATGTTTATTTTTGTTTGGTGAGACTCTCAGTAAGGGAGCAGTCCTTATTTCAAAATGTAGTATGTCAATATCAGATTATGATTTATCAATTATTACGCTTGAAGTTTTTCTTCTAAAAGCAGAGTTCTTTGAAAATAGATAAGAATATAATGAAGTGATGAGGAGAAAACACTATTTTCTGCTTCACACTCTCCTAATTAAATCCCTTGAAATAATATTCAAGTCATCAGATCGAATAACTTTCTAAAATGGTTATAATCTTTGAAAAAACACCATCTACAAATAAATGTAGGGCGACAAAAATTTATCAGCAGGACAGGAGAAGGCACGGTGTCCATATTTTGCTTGTTTGGCTTTGGGGATAACAAGAAGGTGTTGATTCCCTGATCTGAGAGATCTAGATGGTGCATAAGCCTGAAGAAGATCTGAGAGTTAGACTGGAGCCGTGTTAGTCATGCACTGGTATGCAAGACAGAATAGTTTGAAGGAGATTCTGTGTTTCACGGGCAGCCAATGAAGGTCCTTTAGAGTTGGTGTGATGTGCTTTTTCTGGTGATCTGGGAGGTAATGCGAGCAGCTAAATTCTGTATGCATTGGAGTTGGTCAGTGACACAAGATGAAGGTCCGGCCAAAAGGCTGTTACAGTAGTCCATGCGAGATATGACTAGGCTGGTACAGCACCAAAACCGGATAGTAAACCATTGAAATAAACGTAAATACAGTAGGAAATACATGCCATGACCGGATTTACGTATGTTTTCAGATATTTCCTAACTTCGGGCATATATTTCATATGAATCTATACCTTTGAAACATATGCTCATCGTACATTTTCGTATGCACAAGCACCTCGTTCATGTATGCCCTGACCGGATTGTCAGGGATTTCCAAATATGAATTGCAAAACAGATACCCCGGTAAATACATGATCATACAGTATTTCCAATGCATTCCATTGAATTTCAATGGGTGCTGAAATTTCCGATCTCGTTCTAAGTTTACTCGGGTTGGAAACATGTGAATTTACTTAGGTGGGGAAACACATGTAAATTTTCAAATTTACAAATGTTTACACACCTTAGATATTTATGTATCATACCGGATTTCAGGGGTATGTATATGAACGGTTCATACACCATCATGTTACCTGTGCTCAAGCAAGATGATCATATGTTTCCATCATGTGAATTACTTGGCTCATGTAATTTCACTTTCACACATTTTAGTACGTTTGAAATCAACGTTCACATGACCTCAATATTCTTATCACCAAAGAGCCTGGCAAAGGAAGCGATATTACCCAAGCTAACACGCCTTATTAAGCTGCACTCGCTCTTGCTACCAGTATCAGTTACGTCTTGTCTGTGGTGTTGGCAAATCTTGTGAGGTGCATGTTTCGAGGGATTGAAAGGTTCAGTGGTGAACAAAGGGCGATGCGTTGCTCCTTTGTCCTCGCAAGTGACCCTAGCTGCCCCAAAAGAATAGCACTTTGTCTCTCTCTTGGAGCACAGCCAAATATGCTACAGGAACCAACTCGTAATTTCTTAAGTCTGTTCAGCTCGCGCATCTACTGTAAAATATGTTTTTTGCAGTACATAATTGGAATATTATTGCACTGCATGTGACCTTCTTAATAGTCTCACAGTGCCTGAACAATGTTATTTCTCCATTCGCTCAGCCTTTGCTGTAATAACGCCATACATAAACTTTTGTTTAAGTTAAAGTTTGTTTCACTAACGCAAAAGTATACAATAAGAAACAATGTCATATCAAATTATAAATTCTGTGAGACATGAAATGAAAAATTGTTTTTATCGAGTAGCGATTATGACCGGATAGCACAGGCGGGTGTGTTCTCTGAGTATATATCATAGGCATGTTGGATCTTCGTGCCTTTTGTGAAATTCGTCTATATTGTCCTGTTTAAATTGACGATCCATAACTCAGATTGCGAGTAAATATCACGTAAGTAATTGTGATGTCGCATTGCTGTAAATTTCCCTGTCGAAGAAGTCATTCTCACAAGATGTATATTCCCTTGTTTGGAGAAGATCTATGGCTGTTACGCCCCAGTGTTGCTAAACATCTTATAGGCCTTTAGTCTGACACAGACGCGGACATCGCATGTTCAAGTTCTGATCTGACAGGGGCTGAAAATATCATTCCGACATGAATATAATGTCTCAGTGTTTTCCTAAGTAAGTGGAGATCTTTCTACAACATTGGAAATAACTGTATCGTTGTCCTTCTGATATTCCCCCGAACGAAAGCTCTACCCATTTAGGGTACAATGTGTAAGTTACAGAATTGTAGGGAACAGTCTTAAGACTTTTCTACTTTGACGAGGATTCTTCGAACTTGTAACAGTCGTTTGAGAAGATCAAAAGAGAAAAGGGTAGTGCGCGATGTATATGACGGACGTATATGGAGAACGTTCGAAGAACTTAATACAATAATAGAAATACCGGTTATGTTTAAAACGTACCTTCAATCTGATAGCCAGAGGGATTATTGTGAAAGATCGCAGTACGTATCATCATAAACGGGCCAAGATAAAAGTACATGTCATTCATCCCCACATTATATCCCACGGGACATCGTTGTTACAGGTAGGGCAAACACTTTCTTCTAAAGGTATCTGCCGGTTTCACGGTACATACATGTGTTCAGATTATCGGGAAAACTAGCGCAAGTTCTCCTCAATTACACCAGAGACCACATAATCTATCATATGGCCTTTGATCACACATATAATTGTATAAATACCCAGTGTTTATTGATAGCGAACTTATCAAAATTTAAGGCCGACAGTATCATCTGCATTACTCTCTTACATAAGGTGAAATATCACAGGGTTGTCATGGTAACGATAATTTGGCATACAATTTATTGGGTTATTCTTTAATCTGCGATTAGAATTTAAATCAGTTTTGACATGACTTAAGCAAAAAGAAGCTGTAAAACGAAATGTATTGTGATCGAACCTATAGGCCTTTGTAAAAAAAAACGAGTTGTAAAAACGAGTTTCAAGCCACCTACATAAAAACCTGTTTTCATGAAACATATGTGCTAATCGTGGCACGATTCCAACCAGATCATGGGCATATTTTTGTGAATCATAATCAAACAGTAATGTTACAAGGCGTCAATGCCGCGTCAACAACACATATGCAAACAGGGGCGTAGCTACCATTATAAAAAACAGCTCGAGCTTACACATGATCTTTCCTAAAAAATAAGTTTTCTTCTAATTTTTGCCAAAAATATGTACAAACACGTTCCATTTAAAAAGTGGAAATTCCTCTACGAATCGTACTGACTACAGTATTCTTTGATTAAAGCATTACCACGTACAGTAAACAGGTTATTCTTCACATCATAACTTTCAGTGATGATTGTGTTTCCATCGACATGTATAAGGATGTTTTGTTACAGTCATGATTACATGTGAATCCTCACTGAAATGCAGTTGTTTATTTTTCATTTGTTTATCATTTATTTTAGAAAAAACACCAAATACTCGATGTATGGTATTGTATCAATGCAGCAGACACGTGTAAACTATGTCCAAACATATTTGTATATGAGGAAATCACATTTCAATTTTGACATTATTTTGAAGCTATTGAAATCATCAAACGTCAAACGATAACTCTTCAAGTCTCATAAAAAATGAAAGTTGGGCAAGCCCTCAATACCACCTATAATATAAATCTTTGCAGCTCTTAGGGCTTACACGAAAAATATGGCTTGCTACGCGCCTGGCAAACGCACGAGAAGTGCAATACGGGCCTCTAACCACTGATTCTCCGTGACCTGGAGACACATGTGACTGAGCGTATGTTGGGACGTCGTCTGTCATACAGACCCTGAAGCAAATATATCCAAGCCCACGCAAGTCTACAAAATGTGGCAAGTCTAGATTTCCACAGCTTCGGGAGAAAGTCTCAGGGCTCCTTTTCATTATATTATATATTGTTTTATACTATGAACTTTTTTCTGTAAGATATGTTTATATCAGAGACTAGTTGTTAATCTAGTTCTGACGGGTAGAAGACAAAAGACAAAATGGATACTAGT